TACCTTCAATTTTGAAGTATAAAAAAAGCATCAATAGCAAAACTGGGATTTAACCAGAAAAATAAATTAATTTACTGATTAACAAAAAATCTGTATTCTGCCTTTCCAGTGAAAAACATTAAAAATAATGTATACTAAAAAAAAGTCCTCAGATTGCTTCCATGATGCAAAAAGTACGTTTAGCTGAGAGATTAGCAAGCATTTAAAGTGGAAATTCTTTGGATGCAATAGATGCTTACTTTTTAATTTACTGTCTGACATTAATCCATATTGAAAAATCACGTTGTTGCCAACCTGTAGTGCCTGGTCCCCCAGAGGCTCCCAGGAGGAAGTACTCATCTGTATGTTGGTCTTCTGCCTCCTGCTTCTTTGCTAATGTGTTTTATTTTGCATTTTTATATTCCTTCCAACTCTTGTCTCTCTTTCTTCTTTCCTCAAACCCATTCTTGCTCTTGAATTGCCTCAAAATAACTGGGGAACTACCATTTTAAGGATTCAAACTTAGTGCAACTGGCCAGCAGCAGCATTTTAGAGACTGTTCAGTTACTAGCCATTTCAGCTAAACATCAAAACCAAAATAGAACATTTTCCCACCTGCTATCCACCCTTGGTCACAGGTATATTTGACTGAGACATTCCACACAATGGTCCAGTGATTGACACTGCATCTAAAGGTGGTGTAAGTCACTGTGTAACCTCAGCCATTGGGCCAGGGGAGAATATAAGGAAAGAAACGAGTCTTCCACAATTGTACACATTTTAAAATAAAAATCAGATGTTATATGCCACGAAGTATTTACAAGAGTTGACATTCTATCTGTATGGGTAGGGATTGCTTTTCATCTAACAATAATGAGGAAAGAAATGAAGTATGTTTTGTGTCCTTTTTTTTCCATTTTGATTAAAAAAAAAAAAAAAAAAAGCATAATATGGTACGACCTTAACCTCTAAAACTAAACTGGCATTATTACATATTTCCTGTTGCTGAATACTGTTTCTGAATGTGTCAGAATTTTTTTATGGCTTCTTTTAAAACCACTTTTCTAATTCAGAAAGAAAAAATGCAGTATTTGAATTAAATAATATTCTGCAGAAAATTTGAAATGTCATAGTGGTTATGAGGACATAAACTCAATGTAGAGTTTGTGCATACTTTCTCTGTCTTTTCCTTTTCTTCAGATTGCAGGCAATCTGCAGGCAATCTGAAATGGGAAAGAATTTAGAAAGTGAATTGAAAGTGAAGAATCTACGAGAGATGTTCAGATTTGCAAGTCTCAATAATTCCATTCTATTCAACAATTTCTAGTCATAAAATGTAAAATTAGAAACCATGTCTCATGACTTACATACCGTTAGGAATGTCTGGCACTGAAATTATATCTGCTGGAAACACATAAGACCAGGAAAACTCTGACAATCTCACTCTGATCACAACTAAGAAACTAGTTATGGCTGCAGGGTGGATCTGTCTTTTTTTCATACCAACAGAAATTGGCCACAGATATTCAAGGGAATGGATTTGAACATTGTTTTGACTATTTTGCATTCAGTAATTTTTAGGGAAGAAGCTAAATTAGGCATAGATTGATACAACTCTAATGAATATATTGCAAATGGTTAAAATGATAAAAACTATGCAGCCATAAATATTGTCTCCAAACAGCCAAGGGAAAGGTGCTAATGAAAGCCAATATTCTGAAAGGCAATGTTTTAGTAGTTAGTTTCCAGAGGAAGTATGACAGCAATTACATCTTTTTCTACAAAGTAATTGATAACATTTTGAATAAAACAACTTATTTATTATATTTTAACTCTTTATGTCTTGCTTTTCCTAAGCTTCTTCTGTGAAGCACTCATGAAATGAGAACTCCTTTGAGTAGTTCTTTGAAACCGAGGACAGCTACCATCTCACAAGAACAGTGAGCTGTGAGTACCACTCAGTTTATTTTAAACTGCTGGATATAAGAGGTAAGTTTTGAAAAGTACTACAAATTCCCTGCATGAGTTCAGGTTTTGATGCTTTCCTGTATTGTGCCTACCTGCTTGGATACACAATGATTTCAATAGACCTACATTTTACAGAGCAGTATTCATAACTCACTGGTGCTCACTGATGTCCACGTATGTTTGCTGTATGTATAATTTTATTGCCACCCAAGTATTGAGTAAATTGCAAGTGCAAGAACTTGCTCCAGCTGCTGTAGAAGTTAGCTCAGCCACCGACATGTCTGAGCTCAGACATAGACGCTGCTGGATCAGGACAGAGGAACAAACTAAAAGTTTAACTTCTGAAAGAAAAAAAAAAATCATAAAAATTGCTACTCCATATAGTAGAGGGAAAAGTAAGGGAAATTTAGAGCTGAAATAATCTGAGTTTTGTAGGCTTAAAAAAAATATAGATAGGTGAACTAAGATAAATGAAAATAAAATCAAAATAAAATAAAATAGAGGAGTTTGGGTTTCTCTTGTTTTTCCTCCTTGCTAAAAGCACCCTGTAAATTCCAAATCAGTGCGTATCGGTACTCGCTGCAGCAGCAGAAGGTACTTGAACGTGCTGCTTAACAAGCAGACAGCTTGTTTTTTACCTGTCAAAGTTTTCACTGGTGTTAAGATGAAGCTCTACAATAATTAAAAGTCATACTGGCATAGACAATAAAAACAAGACTCAGAATACAAAAGAATAGTCATTGCCTCCTCTTCAAATTCACCTAGACTTTGTTGAGGCTGCTGCATGGGCATCCAGGAGAAATAAAAGTGTCTTGGTTGCAGCAGACCAAGCGAGAAGCACGTGGAATATCTCTCGTTCACGGCTGTTTTACTAAACCCTCAGGTACGAGGCAGGAGCTAATTAAAACTTCGCCCAAACTCCAAATTAGATATTAGCTAAATTATACTCAATAGAAAGATTATATATATATTTATATCCTGTGCTTTCTAAACTGCTTTGTAAACTGAAGTACAAGTGTTGTTTTACTGCAATTATCTCAGAAAGTTTTGCTCACCACGGACAGTTTGAGGAGAAGACTGATGAGAAAATCCACTGAAGAGCCTTTCAGTCAGACCCATCTGCAGCCACTCTCGTCTGTCAGGGTCTCCATTACAAAGAAAATACACCAAGTTCCTGTTCTTGTTAAGGGAAAGGATAAAAAACATCTTACAGGTATTGGAAGGTCTGCTGATACAAGCAAATATAAGCAGCTTGTAAGAGTTTGTGAATAAGTTTCTAATTCAATGCCCCAGATGAATGCTAACAAGCAGCTATGAATTGCAGTACATAAATTGCATAAATAAATAAAATCAGGTGGTCAAGAATATGAAAAGTATACAATATCTGAGGAAACTTGTGTGCTGGGTTTCTATGATTTTTTTAGTGACTCCACCTTCTGCACATTAAATCCAGCTGTAACAAAATTTAATAAGATCAGTTAGATTTGAACAGTTTCAACACTGGCAGAGTTTTCTTCACATTCAGCTTCCTTTCAAACAGGTGTTTGGATTGAGGCTCCCTGCAAATCAGTCACTTGCTCCCAGGACTGAAGCTTTCCTAGCTTGTACCCACTGAAAGCATCAGAGTGCCATTTTTCTATGCTAATATGTACCTTTCTTTTCAGTGTAAATGTGATGCATTGACTAGCTCTGCTGATTCTCTGATAGAATTTCATCTCATCATTCATGTAGGAAAGAATAAATCCATTTTGTCATTTTCACATTTAACTGAACAGAACCTCTTTTTAAGTGCATCCCATTTTGAATCACGGGGCTTATATGAATAATTTTGCATGGACATACTGGAGTTAAATCTGTTTTGTATTTTTGTTGTTGTTGTTGCTGCTTTTTTTTTTTTTTTTTTTTTTTTTTTTTTTTTTTTTTTTTTCCTCTTTCATTTTATGATTACACTTAGAAAAGGCAATCCGTGGCATTGGGGACTTGTTTCTAAAATGACCCACTGAGATGACCTGTGCTTGTATTCCATGATTTACCACACAGAAAATAAATAATAATAATAATAATAATAATAATAATAATAATAATAATAATAAAGCATTGGGAAGAACCTGTAGTCAATTTTCTCATGGGCAAAACATGAGTTAACTCAGAAGAGGTGACACAATTCAGGAGAAATTTTAATGTCCGCGGAACAGTTCCACTCCTGGCCTCTGTCTATCTGTCCTACAGTGGGAAAGCAAGCTGGTTTGGGCATCCAGACTCGCTCATTCATGAGAATATAACTCATCACCAAACTTTCTCTCTCCTGCCGGGAAAGGGGTAGCAGTTCCCAAGTGCCAATCTCACCGAGGAGAGCGCTTCCCATCCCAAAGCAGCCCCGCCGCTCCACCCTCTCAGCATACAGTAACATTAAGGCACGAGAGGACGTCCTGCGCGGTTACCTCTCTCCGCAGCTCCGGCGGACAGCACTCATCTCTGCGCCGCCGCACGCAGCCCCGAGCTGCCGGACAGCACCCGCCGGCAGCAGCAGAAGTTGCCGGGCGCGGGGCGGCGCGGCGCGGAGCCCCCCGCATGGCCGGGGCCGGGCCGGGGCTGGAGGCGGCGGCGCGGTGCCGCCCGCGGGCGCGGTGCCGGGCGGGCGGCGATTGGCGGTGGCGCTGACAGCGGGCGGGGCCGTGCCGGCGGCGCCGCCCGCCCCCGCTATAAGCCGCTCGGCCGCGTCGTCCCTGGGTCTTTCTCCCGCTCTGCGCTGAGTCCCTGTCGCTGCGCGGTGGAAATCCGCACCGGGGAGCTGCTGAGGGGCGCGGGTGTCATGTGAAAGCGCACATGCTCCGCCAGCCCTGCAGCCCTCCTCGCTTTTCTTCCTCTTCTTTTTCCTGTCTGTCTGTGTTTGTGTGTTTTCCTTTATTTTTAACGTAACTCAGTTCCTTTCCCCCTCCCCTGCCTGTCGCCAGCCAGCCGCGGCCCCGCCGACCCCCGCAGAGCTCCGCGGCGGTCGGGCGGGCGAGGAGCGCGCCCGGCAGCGGGCAGCCCGCGGAGCCGCGCCCCGCGGAGCCGCCTGGGAGGGATGGTTTTCGCGACAGAGCAGAGCCGCGGCGGCTGCCGCCTCCGCGGGTGCTGAGACGGGATTTTCGTGGTGCAGTTCCCGGGCTCCCAGCTTCATGACTGCGCGGAGCGGGGAATCGCCAACACCATGCGAGGTAAGCGGGCCGGCGGAGGGGGAGCGGGTCTGTGCTGGAAGGGGCCGGGGAGGAGGCTCTGTGAGAGGAGGAGGCCCGGGGCAGAAAGTTGGTGGGTCGCGCACCCCTATCGGCGTGGCTGCCGGGGGTGCGCTGGTCGCAGCCGCGGTGTTAGCCCCAAGTTCTTTTCGAGGACACCGCGCGAGAAGAAGCGCGGCGCCGCCCTGGACAGCGGAGGACAGGGAAGAAGGGAAGTGATAGGCAATGTCTGTGCCTCGGAATCCCCTCTCTCTCCCAAACCGTCCCCGTGATGCCGGCGGGCTCGTTCTCCCGCCGCAGAGTCCGCACCGCTGGGCCCGCCTGCCCGTGGTCTCGTTTCGCTGCTCTCAAGGGGAGCTGATCCCCCTCCTCTTCCAAAAAAGTTCTGCGGACTTTTCGTGGCTTTGCGCGGCTCCCCAGGCGGTACCTCTTCGGGGACTGCTGATGGGACGGGGTGGAAGCGCCTCCCGGGACCTCCTCACCATGTCCGCACCTCTCCTCCGTCCCTCCCCGGAGGGCAGCCAGGACCTCGTCCTCTGCGCGGGGCAGCGAGAAGCATCCCCACAGCTTGGGTCATACAGGCACGGGGAGCTCCAGCAGAAGGGCCGCTGGAGTCTGGGGGGCTGCGTGCTGAGTCTCCCACTGCGATTCTTTCGTAGGAGCGTTGTTGCTCCCTCGTGTCTCGGGGACAGGCCCTTCGCGGCCTTTTTTCATGGATCAGACGAGCAGAGGTTGGGACGAGCAGCCCCGCGTACCCGCGGTAGTTGTGCACCTCCTCCGCCTCTGTCCTGCCCAGTCGCTCGCCTCGCCCCACGGGGGTTAATGAAGTGAAAAGTGAAAAGGCTTCCTCTGCGTTTGGGACGGACGAGGACTGCTCGCGAGGAGCGGAATGCACTCGCGAGTGACAGCCCCGTAGCATGCGCGTTTCCCGGATCTCCGGTCTGTGTAATGAATGAGGGCGAAGACGCTAGGAGGAACTTTTAGCTAGGATTTCCTCGTACAGGCTATCTCTCCTTCAGAGCTAACAACCACGAGTGTCTGATTTTCCTTTATAGAAACTGTAACTTTGACGTTAGCTCAGGGAAACAAAAATGCTTCTTCTCCCTCTTTCATAAGAAAACAGAGTGTGCACTATGAAGTATCTAGCAAGAACTTGCTAAACAGTATTTCTTTCATGAGAGTACCAGGAAACTAAGAGGGAAAAACACTCAAACCTGTATGCTGAACCCCCCCCTTTCTCCTCCCCCAACCCTTGCAGCTTTTTTTTCTTTTTCTTGAATGGAGTACCTCCAGTGCAAGCAGACCCGGTCCGTAGGTCGAGGGTTACTTTCGAAACGTGCTCATCAGTTCTCGGGAGCGGCCTCGCTTCCAGTGCTGCTTCGGCCTCCACCCCGCCGTGCTGTGAGCCGAGCTGTGTCCTCGCTCCTCTGACGCTTTCTTTTGCAAGCAGCAAGGATCGGGACCGCAGCACACCTGGAGGCACCTCCGCGCAGGGCTGTGCTGCGCTGTCCGCAGCGGTCCGTGAAGGAGAGCGATGCTGTAGCTCGAAGCTACGTGCTGTATAGCGTGTTTGCTTGTGCGTTTTGCTTATGCTTGGGAATTCACGGGTGGGGAAAGAAAAATGTATTGTGATGTAGGACAGAGAGAGCAAGCAGTCAACTTTCAGCCTGGTGTAGAAGTCGCTGTTGTGAAACACCTTTTTGATCATGTCTTGAACTGATTACTTCAGCACTTCTTGCATCAAGATGAGAGCAGTGTTTTACACCCCATCAAATGGACGACAACACTGTATTCTAATAGAATATCTGTTCATCTCATTTGTGGCTTGCCTAATAAATGAATAAATACCACAATTAATAGATTCTGAGCTTCTGTGAATTAACGCTTTTTAGACAGCTATAAACATTCATGCTAAGGGTTTAATGAGTTTAGCTGTTAGATTCACTGTTGGGTTTGGAAAAAGAAGTCTTCTTCTATGTGTGAGCTTTTTTCCCAGGCTTTCCTGGTCAGGCTGAAGCTCCCAGCCCTAGAAGCTGGGGGTGTGCAGACATTGCTGTAGTTGCTTACCTGCTCCTCATCAGAGATGGAGGCTGAAGAGCTACCCGAAAAGATCCGCCCTGTGCTACCTGCTGTCTGCTGCATCCCAGGAACCGGGCAGGGGCTGGTGCCATCCCATCCCCTGATAGCACTTCTAATGCAGACACTGCTTTGATTGGGTCATGCCTTATTCAGAATGATGACTCTCTCTCTGCTAACTCTGGCTTAAATTCTTCCAGGGAAGCACAGCCGTGCTGATTTACAGCTAAACAACTGTCCAGTGCAGGAGGCTGAGCGCTCGATCTGTTGGTGTTGTTGTGATCAGGGCAGGTCCATGTGCTTCCCTCTGAACAAGGAATGGAGATGTAGGAAGTTGTTGGCATTCCCTCTATAAAATGTAGATTATAGATAAAAAAGAGCAGTGTTCACAATGGCCTTCCCATCTTTCCCACGCCCCTCAAAATATTGTGAGGGGGGGGTAAAGACTGCAGAAAATCCATGAAAAACATCTTTTTAGTAAAAGGCAGATATTCAATGTTCTGAAATAAACTTGCTGCCTAACTAAAAAGAGAAAAAATGTTTACGGGTTTTATCTTTTAGTCTAATTTTGGTTAAACTCATTTGCATAGTTAAAGCTAGTAAAGTTAGTGAACAATTTACATAATGCAGCTGAGATGCAAACATATAATTAAAAAATTGCTAAAAATTATGTCAAATTGCCTAATCTGGGCACTTGTTACCTGTACGCACCCAAAAGCAGTATGTGATCACAATTATTTGATCTATGAAGGTGACATAAAGCAGTTGCATGGAATAGCACTTTTATTGAAGCAGTATTCAAGCTTTCAATTCAGAATCTTGCAAAAGTGTTTTATATTTTAAAGCGGGACTCAAAATCCTCAAAAGAAAATGTTTCGAGAAGTTTTTCTGCGTAGCTTGCTCATATTGGTGTTAGGACTAAGCAGTGATACAGATTACATAATGTTATAGAGTTATTCTGTTTTCCTGACATCCTTGGGATATTTATAAGCAACTAGGAAAACATGAATCAAACAAAACCTATTTGAGGTACTGTTGAGAGAGGTTATTAAGTAATACGTACTGATAGAATGTGTAACTGAGAAATATGCAAGTTCTCCTTAATTTAATAGAGGAGTGCAGGAAATCTTGATATAATCACTAAGGCAAATGAAATCTCTTTCAGAAGGTATTCCAGGCATAAGAAATCCAACTGGATTTGGAATACTTGGCACTGTTATTCTGAAAAAGATACTAATGAATTTAGAAGGATGCATCGACTATTTAAAACAAATGTGGTAAAATGAAAACAATGCTGATTTCTGATGAACCCTTAATACCCCACAACACCAAATCCTATTCATCATCACAGCATGGTGCACCCGACTGATACTTACCTGAATAACATTATTTGACTTCACTGAGACTCCTTGAAATGTGATGGATAAGAAGTTTCTGGTGTTAGACCTTTGCAGGTCAATTTTTAATAAGTGTTAGTAACTGCCTATATTACAAGTCAAAATAACAAGTCAGTTATAGGCTGCTACTGCGTTACATGGTAAGAAATACAAACATGTTTTTTTCATATAGAGGCACAGATCTGTGTTTGGAATAAGCAAGTCTGAAGCATGACAGTTTATTTATACTTCTGTAATATTTGATGTTGAATTACTCTACCTTTATGTTCCAAAAGGGTGTCGTACATTTGTATTTCTTTGTTCATATTTCACTGTTGTATCATGCTAGTGTTTGGTTGGGGGAAAGAGAGCATATTGAAGCTTCTTTATTTACAACCATGTATATGTTTCACTATCTTTGGATTTTTACTTTTAAAAAAAAAAAAGATTTTCTTATGCAAAAATGAGCTTTGATTAGTAGAAATCTGGTGACCTGAAGTATGGTGATAAATTTTAAAACTATAAAGGTATGGTATGCGATAGTTGGAAATAATTTCTCTTTTGTGATTACAGAAAATGTTTGACATGCCCTATCGGCCTCTAACAAATAAATGCAGTGATCAACAATAACTTGGTATAATTTACCCCTTTAACAATGCAGTTATGTTTACATTAAGAGATTAATTAATTTGTCTTTTGTGACTTAAGTTACAGCAATACAGAGAAAAATGTATATCCCCAGAAACAAAAAATCCCCTGTATATCCCCAGAAACAAAAAATAGGTATGTTTTGAGTGAATCGGGTGTCAGAATTTTTGATTAAAATGCAATATATAGTGAAATGCCTTCAGGGTGTTATCATGGATACTGCAATATGTGTATTAAGAAATGTGTGGATGAACTATAACTTCAACAGCACTGTGTGTTATTAAGCAGTTTGAGGAAGTAGGATCCACAGTGTTATGGGCACTGGTCGCCTGACGCAGGAAAACAAAATCAAAGGAGTGAGTGATTCCCAAGCTATCCAGGAAATTGTTTTCCTTCCTCTCAAATAATGTGACAAATTCACAGACAAGGTCTGTGCTATGAAATTGAAGAATGCGTGCTTTGTAGCTGAAGACAAAAGAAGCACACAGGAGTAAATATTGATTGAACTAATCATCAGATGAATAGGAATGAGCTTTACCAGTGCACCATTATAATGGGGTATGTTAACTAGCCCTTTCGTAGTCCATATGCTGCCCTTTCAACCCACGACCCTATCTATTGGGCACTTAATGAGGGAAGCCACAGGTGTTATAACGACATTTATGGTAAATCAAGCTAAATAGTATAGTTGTGTAAATAACTGTATGTAGATTAAAAAATAAAAATATGTGAAAGTATTCAAGCACTATGCAGAATCAGGAGATAATACTCCATTAGTATTATGCATTGTTTTACACTTTGAGTCCTAAATCTTTTCATATTGAGCTTAGTAATGAACCTGTTAAATTAACTTCAACCGGAGTATCAATTTTATAGAGACTA